ATTCCAAGTTTACCTAATTAAAATAATCTAAACCTGTGTTTCTCCACCTCAGCAACTTTAAGATGAGTAGACTTCAATTCCCAGAATTCCCCAGCCTGCACGATCTAAACAAACAAGTATAGGGGTAGCAAAGTTTCTGGCAGGGGACCACTCTCACATCACCTATGAGGATTTTGAATTCCATTGTTTGCCAACAAAGAGGCCCAATTCCATTCACAAGTAGTTGTCCAGATGTACGCAGATGAGTTGTTGCTTATCACTGGGTTATGCAACTGGAGAACAATATGTTCCATCAACATTAAACCACAATAAGGTGCAAACCCAAGGTTTTACATGCCCTAAAAATGCAGTTCCTGTTACTCTAACCTTGACTGCAGGGAAAGGATGCATCATCTTTTTTTCTGGAAATCACAAAACCATAACGTTTTCTTCCACTTGGTTTTACCTGCTTTCATATTAAGGAAGGGAGAGAGAGAAAAATAGAAAGAGAGAGNTTATACGTAACAGCCGCCTGTAAATCCACATTTCAAATGCTTCTAGTCTCTTCAGGTGGCCTTCTGTCAGAGACCAACTCTCTACTCCATAGAGCAGGATAGAAAAAATATAGCATCTGACAAGCCTGATTTTCAGTCTTAGGCTTATGTCGTGACTGCAGAAGACCTTTTTCATTTTGAAGAATGCTGTTTGAGCTTTCTCTATCCTAGTCTTTATTTCAGTGGTCATGTCCCAGCTTTCATGTAAATTAGAACCGAAGTGCGTGATCCTTTCAACTTTTTCTAGTGGTATTCCTTCTGAATTTATTGGTGGTAAATTAACGGGTTGTTTGCTGACGACCATGATCTTGGTTTTTGAGGTGTTAAGCTTCAAGCCATATTTTTCAGATATTTTTGTGACTCTGTTGATGAGGAGCTGAAGGTCTTCATGCTTACTGGCAAGCAGAACTGTATCATCAGCATGCTGATGATTCCAAGTTTACCTAATTAAAATAATCTAAACCTGTGTTTCTCCACCTCAGCAACCTTAAGATGAGTAGACTTCAATTCCCAGAATTCCCCAGCCTGCACGATCTAAACAAACAAGTATAGGGGTAGCAAAGTTTCTGGCGGGGGACCTATAAAAGTTACTCTCACATCACCTATGAGGATTTTGAACTCCATTGTTTGCCATCAAAGAGGCCCAATTCCATTCACAAGTAGTTGTCCAGATGTACGCAGATGAGTTGTTGCTTATCACTGGGTTATGCAACTGGAGAACAATCTGTTCCATCAACATTAAACCACAATAAGGTGCAAACCCAAGGTTTTACATGCCCTAAAAATGCAGTTCCTGTTACTCTAACCTTGACTGCAGGGAAAGGATGCATCATCTTTTTTTTCTGGAAATCACAAAACCATAACATTTCCTTCCACTTGGTTTTACCTGCTTTCATATTAAGGAAGGGAGAGAGAGAAAAATAGAAAGAGAGAGAGAGAGAGAGAGAGAGAGGGAGGGGAGGGAGAGAGGGAGGGAGGGAGGGAGGGAGGGGAGGAAGGAAGGAAGGAAGGAAGGAAGGAAGGAAAGAAAGAAAGAAAGAAAGAAAGAAAGAAAGAAAGAAAGAAAGAAAGAAAGAAAGAAAGAAAGAAAGAAAGAAAGTCACTCTAAGCAGCAATTTCATTTCCAAAGCCTACTTCCCATTATTTCCACATCATTAAATTGTTGCCCCACAATTTGTGTAACAACTGCAAAGGAAATTGCTCCACCAGCATAGGAGAACTAGAAGTTTGTGTACTTTTAGCTCACAGAGATGTTGGGTGCCACTGTTTTATCATTTAAACTATAAACTTCAACTTGGGTGTGAAGCCTACCCATAGGGAGAATCTTCTGATAAGATATGACGGAAACAAAGAACAAAAACAGATTGCAGTATCATACAAGTAGATCAAAACCAGTTAAATTAAAAGTGCTGAGTAAAACAATTCTGCACTTTTCAGTATGCAGTACTGAAGCTAGGACGATAGCCTGGAATGATGGGATGGGGACACCCTACCAGATGTGAACAGCATACCACCATCTTGCTGTCGAGAGAACTATAAGTAGTCCTCAACTTGTGATCACAATTGGAACTTCTGTCACTAAGCGATGCACTCATTAAGTGAATTGCTGCTGTTTTTACGACCTTTTTTGCTGGAGTCATTAAGTGAGCCCAGTTTGATTTTACTTGTCAGAAGCCTCTGGCAAGGCTGCAAAGGGCAATCACATGATCCCAGGAGGCTGCAAACTTTGTAAATACATGCTGGTTTCCAAGCACTTGAATTTTGATTATTCGAGGATGCTGTAAGTGCAAGGACTGGTTGTAAAGTCTTTTTTTTTTTTAACACTACCATCAATTTCTTTAATTTACTCAATTCTGACTCACTCTGGGTAGTGTACAACAAAATAAAACAATAAAAATGCAATGCAATAATTATGAAAGAAATAAAATATAAATAAAGGCCTCATCTTTTGTTTAATTGAAAATGAACATACAACATAGAATAATAGAGTTGGAAGGGACCTTTGAGGTCTTCTAATCTAACCCCCTGCTCAAGCAGGAGACCCTAGACCAGGGGTGTCAAACTGCCAGCCCGCGGGCCAAACGCGTCATCCAGAAGCTGCGCCCATCCCATTGTCAGCAATGGCAAAACCATCCCGATACGTTCCGTGACATCACGTGACATCGTGAGTTTGACATGTCTGCCCTAGAACATTTCAGACAAATGGTTGTCCAGTCTCTTTTAGAAAGCCTCCAGTGATGGAGCATCCATAACATCTGAAGGCAAGCTATTCCACTGGTTGATTGCTCTCACCGTTAGGAATTTTCTCCTTAGTTCTAGGTTGCTTCTCCCCTTGGTTAGTTTCCATCCATTGTTTCTTCTCTTGCCTTTTGGTGCTTTGGAAAAACACCTTATCTTTGTAGGAGCCCCACAAATATTGAAACACTGCTCTCATATCTCCCCTAGTTCTTCTTTTCATTACACGAAACATACCCAATTCCTGCAACCGTTCTTCATATGTTTTAGCCTCTAGCCCCCTAATCATCTTTGTTGCTCTTCTCTGCACTCTTTCTAGAGTCTAAACATCTTTTTTTAATAATACGGTGACCAGAACTGGATGCAGTATTCCAAGTGTGGCCTTATTAAGACTTTGTAAAGTAGTACTAGAACTTAATGTGATCTTGATTCTATCCCTCTGTTAATGCAGCCTAGGATTGCATTGGCTTTTTTGGCGGCTGCTGCACACAGTTGGCTCATATTCAGGTGATTGTCCACTAGGTGGTTACATTTACATCATATTTCATCTAGTAGCTTTATAAAAATAATGAAGGCAGGACATAAATACAAAAATAAATAAATTTTCCCAGGATAAGTCTGTTAATGAAAGTGTGCTGCAGCTGCCAAAAAAGCCAACACAGTGCTAGGCTGCATTAACAGAGGGATAGAATCAAGATCATGTGAAGAATTAATACCATTTTACAATGCCTTGGTAAGGCCACACTTGGAATACTGCATCCAGTTTTGATCACCACGATGTAAAAAAGATGTTGAGATTCTAGAAAGAGTACAGAGAAGATCAACAAAGATGATTAGGAGACTGGAGGTTAAAACATATAAGGAATGGTTGCTGGAATTGGGTTTGTCTAGTTTAACGAAGAGAAGGCCGAGGGGGGGACATGATAGCAGTGTTCCAATATCTCAGGGGCTGCCCCAAAGAAGAGGGAGTCAAGCTATATTCCAAGGCACCTGAAGGCAGGACAAGAAGCAACGGATGGAAACTAATCAAGGAGAGAAGCAACCTAGAACTAAGGAGAAACTTCCTGACAGTGAGAACAATTAACCAGTGGAACAACCTGCCTCCAGAAGTGGTGAATGCTCTAACACTAGAAGTCTTTAAGAAAAGATTGGACAGCCATTTGTCTGAAATGGTATAGGGTTTCCTGCCTGAGCAGGGGGTTGGACTAGATGACCTCCAAGGTACCTCCCAACTTTATTATTATTATTATTGTTGTTGTTGTTGTTGTTGTTGCTATAAACTTGGATACTTGTAACTCCTGAATAATCAGTAAGAGTAGATGTTTATACCTACTGTGACATTTATCCCCACAAATATCTCAGCATCCAATCTCCCTTTACCCAGGAGTAAACGTAGAACTTGCTTTTAGCTTCCCAAACCCTCTTGTTATTTTTAATTTTCTTTTCCCAATGAAGTCTTCTGGGCAATATTGAGCACTCAGTCAATTTTAATTTCCTTTGATGAAGTCTCTCTCTAGAAAATTGTGGGAAATTAACATGCTAACTCTTGGCACAGGAGTCTGTCCCCAGCATCTGATAATCCTATAAAACCTATCAAGAAGAGATATGACCCACAACAAATTATCTTACTCAATATGAACTATCACATCTGAACCTCAAATATTCAGACAGCCATTAGATGCTGGTAAAGATAAATTATTGTGTCTCTCTTTCTTCACCAATTAGTGGTCATCCAGATTTTTTCAGCTTAGCTTTGATAGGCCTGTCTCAGGAGCTCCTTATACTTGTAGTTGGCCCTGACCTTTCACCCTTACACAAGCTATCCTTGAAGTTTCAGGGGAAAAAATCATAGAAGCCCTACCACATTCAAATACAAGTTTAATGTTGGTGGACAATAAAACAGCACACTATAATTGGGCACAAGAAGGGGCCTTAATTTTGGGGCTGAGATAGTTTGGTTTCTTTTCCCAGTTCTTCCTCTAGTTAAGTCTTGACACACTTCATTAGGCCAGCTGGCAATATTCCCAACACAGGCCTCTTTTGAATGTTCTTGGATAGGAAGCCCAAAAAATATCATTGCAGAGGACTGATTTACAGTCAGTTGTTGTCAAGCTAAGAACTATAAGGCTTTTAAGATAAAAGAAAAGAGCAGCACATAGGATTCTAACAATGTTTTCTGCTTCTCTTCTTTTTTCACAGTGCCTACTCCACATTCTGACCTCTAACAGGACCATGGTTAGTTGTATCGAAAACCAAAATGCTACATCTTCCAAGCCTCTGGCAGGCGCATCGATAGGCATAGGGGTGCTGTCGCTTGCCTTCATCTTGGGATTCCCTGGCAATGCCTTCGTGGCATGGACGGCCATCTGCTGGGTTCGGAAGCGGACAGTCACCTGCCTCCTCATTCTTCATTTAGCCATCGCTGACCTGGCAGTGCTCCTCACAGCCCCTCTATTCCTGCGATTCTTAAGTGTCAAGAAATGGGAAATGGGTCAGGCCATCTGCCAAATCTGCTATTACATCTGTGGGGTCAGCATGTACGCGAGCGTTTCCCTCATTTCCCTCATGAGCCTTGACCGCTGCCTGGCTATTTCCAAACCTTTCATCTCACAAAAAATCCGTACCAGGCGCACCATCCGGCTTTTGGTTTTGGCGATTTGGGTGGTGAGTCTTTTCTTAGCTGCACCTTCCCTCCTCTATCGGAAAGTGGTTACTCATAACGGCACAGCTTACTGCATATTGTGTCACCAAGAAGACAAGGAGCTGGTCTTCCATAACCTCTTTGAAACCATCACTGGATTTCTGCTGCCTTTTATTATTGTTGTCTACAGCTACGGGATGATTAGTCAACGACTCAAGGAGACCCGTTTCCGTCAGAAACGCCGGACCAGCCGACTCATTAGCCTCATTGTGATCGCCTTTGCTCTTTTCTGGCTTCCTTACCATATCGTCAACCTTTTAGATGTGATTGGTCTGTGGAGTGGCTCGTCAAAGATTAAAAAAGCAGGGAAAATGGCTAGGCCCATTTTGGTGGCCCTTGCCTTTTTCAGTAGCAGTGTCAACCCTATCCTTTACACTTTCAGTGGGAGCTCCTTAATCCGATCATCTGGTATTGGTTTCATGGCCAAACTCTTTGAAGGAACAGCCTCAGAGGTGTCTAGCGTAAAACATGGCACCATCCGGGACCGGGATGCCAAGACAGAACCCTTGAATAATGGGAAACCTGAGTCGTTAACTATGTCTACTAACCCTACAGATAGTAGTTCAGTTCAAGAAGGTGGAAAAGGCTTGAGGCTGCTCTCGTCAACTTGAAACTACACACAAGAGTGGGCATTCATATTTCTGTTGTCAGTTTTTTAAAGGTCTTCTGAAGTACTATAGAAATGGTCTCTCTTACTTTTTTCTATATCTTCTTCAATGATATTTTGTACGAGATAGGCTGTTTCATTTCTTATTTGTTTCATTCTGCAACATGACTGCAATTTTTGGAATTTCAGGGACTAAATATGAAGGGATTTTTTTTTTACCTGTCATCATACAGACAATTTCATATTATGCTTAGGAAGCATTCCCAAGGATTGTTGCAAGTACTGTGAAAACCTCTCTGAAGATGTGAAAAGATGAATCAATGACTTTGGGTTCATTAAATGTTAACCTTTAGAGACCAGGAAACATCAAACTTGCATACAGTCTGTCTCTACCCTAATTCTAACATATATACTTTGAAAATCAGAGCAGGGTTCATCCAATTTCACTTTTAAACAAACAGAAACCCTCAGTTTCCACTTTTTTTCCATTCTCAAGTCAATTGACAAAACTTTTGTGGAATGCTTCCCACCCTGTTTTTATACATCGGTTTGCAATTGTCTTGAGAGAAGAAAAATGTGCTTAATGCTTTGTTTACTGTTGATATTCCTTCTGGAGACCCTCCCTTTTTTCATGTTCTATACATTTTCTATACATTCACATACATTTGAAATTTGGGGTGCATTCACTGTGCAACACCGCAGCAGAATCTTATGGTGGACTTCCATATACAAACCTTTTGTTTGCTTGTGGTGACTATGAATAAAAGACGGTTTGCTTAAGAGTAATTGAAATTTTTGAAGCAGAAGGCAGGAGACCGAAACATTGCTTAACAGATTAATTTAGGTCACTAGATCTACCCTCCTATCACTTCCTAAATTACAGGTAAACTTACAATCACAATTGGGACCAGAATTTCAGTACCGTTGTAATTTCAAATGGTTACTATAGGAATGGTTGTAAGTTGAGGACTACCTATCATGTCCTCAGGGAGGGGAGGAGGGAATCCTGTCTCATAAACAACCCTAAAACATGATGCAACTTGCTAGCTTAGTCTGCCATCTTGTTCTTTGCTTGGCAGCAAGCTTTGGGACAGCCCTGACTCCCTGAATAAAAATAATCAGCCCATTTAGTCCTTCAATGATGCCTTTGGGATTGGATAGTATTTTGATTCCACAAAGGTACTTCAGAATACAGAGATACTGAAATGCAACTCTTGAAAGCAGCCGTGTCATTCCCCAAGATCACGTGACAGCTGCATGGGACAAGACACAGCTGCATTCAAGAGTTGTAGTTAGGGCCTTATCTTTCCTTTCCTGTGCACCGGAAAACATATTTTTCAAATTACAGGTAGTCCTCAACTTACAACAGTTCGCTTAGTGACCGTTCAAAGTTCCACTGGTACTGAAAAAAGTGTCTTATGACCATTTTTTACACTTACAACCATTACAGCATCCTCATAGTCTTGTGACCAAAATTCAGATAGTTAGCAACTGATTCATATTTATGACAGTTGCAACAACCCGGGGTTATATGATCACCTTTTGTGGCTTTCTGACAAGCAAACTCAATGTGGAAATCACTTAACTACTGTATTCCTAACAACTGCAGTGATTCACTTAACAACTGTGGCAAGAAAGGTCATAAAATGGGGCAAAATTCACTTAAGAACTGTCTCGTTTAGTAACAGAAAGTTTGGGCTCAATATAAGTCAAGGACTACCTTATTTTCTAACCCTGCACAGCCCTCAAGTTTGCATGCAGCATATTGCTAAGAAATATCTCTTTTCCTTTCTAAATGAACACAGGAGGCCCTTTGGAAATTTGACATTTGTTTCTGCGCTATTTGCAGATTCTGAAAGGAGGGGGGGGGAGAGAAATATTTTTGTCAACTCCCAGATTTTTATGTGAGTTATGCACATTCATAGAAATTCTTTGATTCGCTCCATCAGCAGGTGAGTTATTCTGTTGTAGTAATCTTGAAGAGATTCTCAGAAGGAACGTTTGAAGTCTGAAACAGCAGAATTAATTTTTTTTATAAGAAGCAAACAGAGATTCTGTCATGGCTGCATCTCACCTATCCAAACTTCATGAGCTGACAGCCTGACATTAGCACCAGGAGAGGAGGGGAGAGATTGAAATGTAAGGAAGAAGGGGAAGGGGATAGAAACCCAGCTGAGCCCTGTGAGAAGCTTCAGCCAGCCAAGGTCAGCTAATGATATGCAGAGCTGGGAACCGAGTACCTGTTTCCTAAACAATATACAAGCCCCTGATTGGACATTTGCAGATAACTGAGGGATGGCGGGTGGGGTGGGGGGAGAGAGAGAAGGAACTTTCCTTGGTGTTGTTTGCGCTACTTCTGTAACCATTTTAGTTTCAGTAAAGTATACTCTTGGCAAAACAAATGGCCAGGAGTCTTTCTTTGCTAAACCAGGGCTTTTCAACCTTTTCACCCGTTGTACCACTTTTAGGATATGGCAACATCCGAGTACCACCAGTCACCTAGCAAGGTGTCAAAAACTTGACCAAAAAAAAAAAAGGAAAAAAGTGATAAAGTACAGGCAGTCCTCGACTTACAACAGTTCGCTTAGTGACTGTTCGAAGTTACAATGGCACTGAAAAAGTGCCCCCCAAGGCACAGACGAGCAAGACACCTGCCTGCCCGCCTGGCTGCGCTCTTCCTCCTGTCCGAGGTTTTCATTGTTGTTAGCATTTCTGTTGGGGATTGGCAGCGGGGGTGGGGTGGGGGGTGTTTGGTTTTTATTCCCCCCCGTCTGCTGGGTGGTTGCAGCAGGTTTTCATCACTTCATATGACCTTGGGACACTGTGACCGTCATAAATATGAATCAATTGCCAAGCATCTGAATGTAAATCACAAGACCCTGGAGATGCTGCAACATTCCAGCTGATCGGCGCTTCTTCTGGGCTCAGCAGAAGCACCAGGATCAGTGCTGCTTTCCAGCTGATCGGCACTTCTTCTGGGCTCAGCAGAAGCACCAGGATCAGTGCTGCTTTCCAGCTGATTGGTACTTCTTCAGGGCTCAGCAGCACTAGGATCAGCGCCGAGCTACAGCTGGAGCTTGGCGCTGATCCTGGTGCTTCCACTGAGCCCTGACAGCCCTGCAGCTCCAGCCATCTCTCGCTCAGGCTTATGCGTTGCTGCCACCGGTTCAGCTTATTCCCCTCCCCTGCTACTTTTCTAGGATGATCGCGTACTACCTGCCAGGTGCCAATGTACCACAGGTGGTACCTGTACCACTGGTTGAAAAGCCCTGTGCTAGACGACTGAGTGGAACGGTTGACAGAGTCATGCAAAGGCTGCATATACTGGACGGGTATATTGAATGCAGAGCAGTTTTTTTCAGGAATCAAACTGCAACGGCCCACATGGTTTTGTGCAGAGCTGAGTGTGCACGTGTGTCACCCCTCCAGTGGGACCTGCGTTGGTTGCCAATTTGCTTCTGGGTGCATCACCTTTAAAGGCCTTGAGCTAGGTTATCTGAGGAACCATCTCTTGCTGGTCACATCCACCAGACGTGCTAGAGAGGAAAGGCAAGGAACGTCGTGGGTCCCGTCCCTTAAGGAGGTACATCTGGTGGGACACAGAAGAAGGGCCTTCTTCATGATGGCTCCCTCTCTTTGGAATCTCATCCCTTCAGAAATTAGACTGCCTCACCCCAATTTGGTACTCTTTGTAAGGCCCTGTAGACTTGCTTTTGCAAGCAGGCCTAGGGAATCCAGAGTGTGAGGGAGCCCATCAGATGGCTCATTTGACTGTGTGTTAAGCCTGGGGGTAGATGGGTGGTGGGTGGGAGAGGGTTGTATTATTTTTATTTTCTATACTGTATTTTTATTGCTTGTAAGCCGCCTAAAATCGCTGTGAGAGAGTAGGCAGCTATATAAATTTTCTAAATAAATAACATATTTCATTTGGCACCCTTCAGGTTCTTGTAAAAGTCATTTGTATCGCTTTAAGGTAGCATTTAAGGGTTCTTTTTTTCTTTTTCTGGTAAAAGCAAAGCTTTTAGACTCCCTCCAATAAATAATTAAAAAAAAAACCTGGCCAAGAACTGCAATTCCAAGGATAAAGGTCTGCAACCCTATAAATGTTAACAAGAAAAGAGGCAACACAAAACCAACCAAATAAGTCCTTGGTGACTTAAGACGTACAAATAAAATAGATAACACTGTTTATTTTTTTCCAACAATTTAAATATGCCAGCTTTGGTTGTAAAGGGGAGTCTTTTTACACACACACACACACACACACACACACAATGAGAGAGAGAGAGAGAGAGAGAGAGAGAGGCACACAGCATTAGAATAGTGAGACATTTCTTCTGGCAAGGCCTGCTTTTACATCAGCAAAAGACACTGGATGACACAATTCCTGGAAAACGTACAATATATTTCAACTAAGATTTTACATTTACTCATTGTAAATTACTGGAAATCTCAGCTAAGGAGATTTCAGGCAGACCTTACTCCCTAAGTATTCAGGGCAACACCAAAGCAAATCACGAACTTAGCAATGTGGCAGGAACATGTTTTTTATCCTCAGAATGGACTTAACTTATTAAATACGGTACTTTAAGAGAAGAAAGGTAGGAAGTATTGAATGTCGCACCCTTCAACTGTCTGACAATGCTTCTCCCAGATTTTCCTTTCACCATTAGCTAAGGGATGCTGGAAGGTGTAGATTAGCCTCTGGAAGGTCATGAATTTTCCATTCTTGCTTTAAAACCAGTGCAGAAATTAAATCACCATGCTGTAAGCTCATCTTTTTTGTAAAGTTTATGCTGCAATTGTTTAAAACACATTTGCCATACTTTTTGTTCCCAACTCTACATTGAGTTCAATGAGTGAAGTGACTAAGAAGAGAGAGAGAGAGAGAGAGAGAGAGAGAGAGAGAGAGAGAGAGAGAGAGAAAAGAAGAAGAGGAAGAAGAGGAAGAAGAGGAAGAAGAAGAAGAAGAAGAAGAAGAAGAAGAAGAAGAAGAAGAAGAAGAAGAAGAAGAAGAAGAAGAAGAAGAAGAAGAAGAAGAAGAAGAGGAGGAGGAGGAGGAGGAGGAGGAGGAGGGGAGGAGTGGGAGGAGGGGAGAAAGAAAGAAAGAAAGAAAGAAAGAAAGAAAGAAAGAAAGAAAGAAAGAAAGAAAGAAAGAAAGAAAGGTAGTGAGGAGATCCCCTTAGTTGTTCAGCTCCTTTAACCACATGAACCAGGCAAACATATGCCAGCATTGCAAAATACACAAACCACAAAAGAAAGAAGTGTTGCTGGGTCACCAAGCAGGAAGTTGACCTAGAAAGAATGGCAGGAAATGGTAGCAGTTTCTGTTGCCAACTTAATCTTCTTCCATCTGATATATTTGAGTCAATATCCAACCAGCTCTATGCAATTAGAAAACACCTCAATAATACCAGTACAATGACTTCTCTACTGCCCTCATTCTCAAATTATGCTCTCCATCTTCAGAGGGTCTATGAAGCCAATCCTCTATTTTGTTTGAGCTTAAAAGTCTTCTGGACATGACGGTTGTGGTTTTGTAATATCAGTACAGACCAAATTGAAAGAAGGTTGTGAACAAATCATCATCAAGCACCAGAGATTAGTAAACATATAAAACACTGAAGATCCTCAAAAGAGGATCCATTGCCTCCAAGTTGATTGAAGAATTGCAGCTTTCTTTCTTCGGATCAGGAGAAAGTTCTAACTTGTCTTCTCAAGAGGATCTCCAAATGTTCTTAGTGGCTCACTTCTCCTCACTTGCAATTACAATTAAACAAGGATTTGCTGTGGTGACGGAGCTAGATATTTTCTTATACAAGACGAAATGGGACCTCCTTAGGCTCTGTTTCTCCCAATTCTCATGGTAAATGCTTCTTCTGACAGAACCAGAAATGTCTGTTAAAATAAGCCACTTGCTGCCCCCCAAGTACCAGGAGGAATTGACTGAGAATTCCAACCCTCATGAGTCTCAGTTTCATTCCACAAGTTTAGCTCAACATCGGTGCTTGGGAGCAAGAACGAGCCGTTTCCGTACAGACAAAGTAAGTTCTTAGTTCACCTTTGCCCTTGACCTTGATAACCCCACGAAGGGAGCAAGTGTAGCCTAATGTCGCCAAAGCTTTAGCCGTCTCTTCTGTGACCTAGGAGAAGAAAGAAGGAGAATGTAAAGGTGGCCGATATAGCTACAGCTAGATGGTTGAGTTTTCGTTTACATTTGCAATGCATGACCCGTGGTGGCGCAGTGGTTAGAATGCAGTACTGCAGGCTACTTTGGCTGACTGCCGGCTGCCAGCAGTCCGGCTGTTCAATTCTTACCAGCTCAAGGTTTACTAAGCTTTCCAACCTTCTGAGGTGAATAAAATGAGGACCCAGATTGTTGGGGCCAATATGCTGACTCTGTAAGCTGCTTAGAGAGGGCTGTAAAGCACTGTGGAGCAGTAAGTCTAAGTGCTATTGCTATTTTGGATAGAAACCCCTGCAGTTGGTATGGCAAGAGTTAGTATATCCCAATGACTCTCTGCCTAATTTAAATTTTTCATTTTGACTGAAGAAGTTACTTGGATGACTAATGAAATGTCTCCGTTTAATAAACTTTGGTCCAGTTGCCATGATTTAACCTTTTCAGATACAGATACAGCTATTTTTGTCCTCTTTTATTTGCCAATTTTAACTTATTTATTACTGTACCTTTCCCAATTGAATGGCATAGCTTTTTATTAATGGGAGAAGATACTTTGGATTTTACTTGGCCCAAGAAGATGTCAAAAGTTTCAACTGAAATCCCAAAGATTTTCTTGTGATTTTTTTTTCCCTTTGAAAACATTTCACTTCTTGGATGAGAAGCGAAATGTTTTCACGAAAAAACCCCACAAGAAAGTTTAGTTACCTTTTGGAAAAAAAACATCTTTGGGACAATCATGACCCAGATGATTGAGAATCTCCACAGACTTTCAAATGAAGTGCCTCAATAGAAAAATGAAAGTGGGCTCAGCAAGCTATCAGTTCTCTTGGTCAGGTTGATTTCAACCAGATTAAGCAAGTAAAACTAATGTAGAAATTAAATTGATTTGTTTTGGTGGGATAGAATGGTGTAAGTAATTATTAGACCCAGAGCCATAAGTAGAATAGTTGCTTCCTCTTTCTGCAGTCCCTAGAACTCTTCTGATCCTACCCTCCTGAATTTCAGCAGCACAGTTGCTAAAGATAGGATGAAAATGGAAAAAACATCTCCTGAGCTTAATATATCTCTGGAGATTTTGCTCCTCTTGATTATGGCTGTACTGTGATTTTAAAGACAACTAAAGACACACAGAGAGATTAAATATATTGCTGTTGGTTTAAATTAGAGTTGAAAATGAAAAAGTAAAGGAGAAGCATTGAACTTGGAGGTGCTAGATATACTGGTAAAATTACTAATAATAATTCTAATGCATTTCAGACGAAGTCCTTTTTTAACTTTCTTGTAGAAGACAGGAAACTAGGCATATGTTGATTCTGCAGAAGATATGTCTGGTTTTTTTGGGGATGGGGTACTTTCCCAACAATGTTTTTTTCATCTGAATCAAAAAGTGGACCATTTTGTGGTATTTTCTTTGCATATCTTCTATCATTTGCAAGCATGTGTGGTAAACAACCTTTAGTCCATTCATATGTGCCTCTTGAGTACAGTGAGTCTAGGTCAGGGGCCTCCAAACTTGGAAACTTTAAGACTTGTGGACTTCAACTCCCAGAATTCCCCAGTCAGCACAGAGGAATTCTAAGAGGTTAAGTTTACAAGTCTTGAAGTTGCCAATTTTGGAGAGTCCTGATCTAGGTTACTCTGCAGAATGACAAATGATGGCAAGGAATTGATGCAGTTCTGATTTGCTGAGCTACAGCAAACATTAACGAAGGCCACAAACAAGGCCAGGAAACAGGCCAGACTACCCTGATGCTTGAGATGTGATTCCAAGTGGGTGTGTGACTCTTCATAAGGCATAGATTATTTTATCTCCTACTCTAATAATGTGGTTGACCTTGATACAATCAGTCACAATGTGAATATGCATAACATTCCTGGAATCTATTGGCATTCAGCTCAAAAACCTTGAGCCAAAAGTTCAACTGCATTGTACGCCATCCAGAGTCATTTTCTGTGAAATGGGCAGCCATATAAATTTGATTCCTAAATAAATAAAATGAAAGAGGGGGAAATATCCTACAAAAATAGCCATACATTGCACAAAACTACATTAAAATATTTACTGTAGGGGAAAGCCATATACCACACAAAAATGTCTTGAGGATGAAGGTTCCCAAAAGATGATTTTTTTCCCAAAGATGTTTTGGGAAAAAATTGCACAAAAATGCATATCTAAGAGAATGGTCTGTGTAAGCCACAAAAAGCTGTATCCAAAAAAGCAAGGTTCAATAGAACAGAATGTCGATAACTTAGTGTTGAACTCTGAAGTATCTGACTCTCTTTAAGTGAGGTACTGATGTTAACTTAGTTGGGTAATGAAACATCTGTAAGCAAGCAAGCAAGTTCAGAGAGCATCAGGAAACCCACAAAAATAAATTAATGGGTAAATCCCTCAATAGAATGATTAAATATATATATACTTCCATCACATTTTACTAAACAAAGCAACAGAGATAGTAGATTTAGGGCAAGAAGAACAAGATTATTTTCCTATCACTATTTCACATGACAAAGGTAGACATTTTCCATAGCCTGGCAGCCTGTCTCCAGCAGAGTTCAGCCAGATGTCTTTGGGAAAAAAACATATGCAGGTCTTCATCTCCCATTCTTTGATCCATGAATTACAAGAACAAAGGAATTCCATATTGTCATTATGAAGAAAAAACATGGTAGATGTTCGTTTCAGCAACTACCAACTCCAGTTGCCTTCTTTTTAGGTTTATTTCATCTAAATCTCTTGAAAGGTTGCAAACATAGAATCAGGAGTCCTAGGATCCAAAACACAGAAAGGAGACCACACAGAAAGGCTTTGTACCTACCTGTATCTTCCCCAGAACTCCTGTACTCTCCATTCGACTGGCTACATTCACAGTGTTTCCCCAAATATCATATTGGGGTTTTTGAGCTCCGATGACCCCGGCCACAACCAGTCCGTGATTTATACCTGCAAAAGTTTCCAGAGTTTAATGGTGGCCCTTGATTGAATTAAGCAAGGATACAAGTAATGGTAGGTCAAAAGTTCATATAAGTCAGTGGTGGCAAACCTATGGCACGGGTGCCAGAGGCAGCACTCGGAGCCCTCTCTGTGGGCGCACATGCCGTTGCCCCAGCCTTGCCTCCCCCCACGACCCCCTCCTCTCCAGCAACCCCCCCGGGGGAGAGTCGCCCCCGAGCGTGGCCCACGCGGAGCAGTGCAGCCAAGGACATGGCAGCCAGGCAGCCTAGACAAGACTCTGCCCTCACGCCCCATTGTGCACAGTTGATGCTGCGGGGCGCGGGCAGAGGGCGTGGCCACCATGGTACTGCTGGGCAATCTGTGGCAGGCCCTGGAAGCGGTGAGTGGCTCTGAGGGCAGGCGGGGCGGGGGCGGGGCAGGGGGTGGAGCGGGGGCGGGGGGATTTTTTGGGCACTCGGTCTCTAAAAGGTTCGCCATCACTGATATAAGTTCTTCCTACCATGTTTCCCTGAAAATAAGACCCAACCGGAAAATAAGCCCTAGCATGATTTTTCAGGACACTCGTAATATCAGACCTAACCCAAAAATAAGGCCCAGTTAGGATCGTCAGCCAGAGGTCTGTTGCAACACACGACGGCTGTATGAAATTTTAAAATAATAATATTAATATATAATTAAATATAAGGAAATAATATGATTGACATTAATACTTAAAATAAATAATATAAATTATAAATAAGTATTTGTACATACCGTACCCAAACGGGCGTCTTTGGCGCACAGATAAAGGTACCATATGTAAACTGAAGAACTCTAGACACCGTTGGCATGCGCATAGGTGGTGGCAAGCACATGAGGACCAATGGTGTCCGGCAGCAGCTGCAGCCCATTGGCCTCTTGGCCAGTGCATTCCGGGGCTGCAAAGCCTGCACGGCGCAGGTAGGTGGGAACTAATGGGTCTTTTGGAGCAAAAATAAATATAAGACCTGGTCTTATTTTTAGGGAAACATGGTAATCAATTCCCTTCTCACATTCTTGTCGTTATCTCCTTCATCACTTCATTTCATAAAGTGAATGTACACCAGCAATTGAAACACTGATTCAAGTGTCTTGGGCCTTTGTGCCTTTTCTAAGCTTTGAGGAGGAAGTTCCCCTACAGCACCATGTGAAATTTTAAAACATTATTCATTCAATTGTAACATAAGAATTTAAAAAAAAAAAAAAAAAAAAGTTTTCATGCTAAAAATTCAAAAGCCAGTTGGTGTTTGAGCAAGTGCTGTGAGATTAGGCTGAAGCCACCATACCTAAAAAGGACAAAAGTTGGACCTGAGCATATGGGAAACCCCCTCCCCAAGTCTTACCAACAAAGGAGTTGAGCCTGCATGAGAAGCCTCACCCCACCAACAAAGCAAGAACTTGGGGGGGGGGATACAAGGGGTCCTGAAGCCTGCCCACTCTTTGAGTCATTTTTGGATGCCAGACTTGGCGGCTTCTGTCCCTTTAGCTAGTGTCTGGCAGATGTTGGATAAGTTTGGCTGAGAGAGTGTATGTGTGTGTAAGAGGAAATGAATATATTTCATAATGAGTAAAAGTTTGCTGTTATTTTAAATTCACTGGCTCTCAGTGTATTTTAAAGAAACATTTGTGCCTCAGTGTTCAGTTGAAAGCGATTTGAGTATGGCAATTTTCCAGGGCTGCAAGGGTGTGAGTGAGTGACCATAAGCTGAACTTGAGAGCACACTTGTATAACAGTGCCAACATTTTTCATAGCTCAGCTCCAGGAGAAAAATAATTAGATTTGTGCCCAGTGGTGGGATTCAAATATGTGAACAACTGGTTCTCTGTGTAGATGCCGCTTCCGGAAGTCCGTTCTGGGCCTGGGCAACAAAAAATTAGCTACCGGTTCTGCTGACTGAATCTCACCACCGTTTTTGCCCCAGCTTCCCCTTTTCTCTAAAAATATTAGTTCTACTTTCATCATATCGTGAATTCACAGCCAAAGTATGTTTCAGAGAGGAAATTTCTTAAGTTTACGCTCAGTTTACTATTACTCACCCACACGGAGTTTGAAAGTATTGAACGAATGTTTGTTGATAATGTCCAACTTGGCTACCAAAGCCATGGCAAACTCCACCATGGTTCCCAGGTGGGTGTAGCTCCGCTCAGTGTCCTGCACAAATTATCCATGTAGATGGATGTATCAACACAAGTCAATGGATGGAGAATGTAAAAAAACAAGGACAAAGATTCACACAGGTAAATATTAAGAGGAAAGTGGGTTAGGGTTGATCAAGTAACAAAAGTAATAAAGATGTCTTATCCCCTTATTCTCCTAGTGCAGGGGTAGGCAACCTTGGCTCTTTTATGACTCACGGACTTCAACACCCAGAATTCCTGAGCCAGCTATGCTGGCTCAGGAATTCTGGGAGTTGAAGTCCGTGAGTCATAAAAGAGCCAAGGTTGCCTACCCCTGTCCTAGTGCAAAGTGAGCTTTTCAAGTTAGATCAAACTAGGAAACCAATGCTATGTAGGTCTGTACAGGTAGTCCTAACTTAAGACCACAAGTGGGACTAAAATTTCCATTGCTAAGCAATGGCTTGTCAAGGGAGACACACCTTTTACAAGTGAGTTTACAACCTTTTTTGCCACCGTTGTTAAGCAAATTATTGCAATTATTAGGTGAATCACACAGTCATTAAGTGAATCCATTTTTTCCCCATTGACTTTGTTTGTCAGAATCCTGCAGCCATCGTAAATATATGTCAGTTGCCAAGCACCCCCATTTTGATCACATGACCGTGGGGATGCTGTGATGGCCGTAAATGTGGGGACTGCTCTTAAGTCACTTTTTTCAGTGCCATTGTAACTTTGAATGGTTGCTAAACAAATGGTTGTAAGTCAAGGACTACCCATACTGCTTTTTTTGTAATGCTCCAGTGACAGAAACTTGCAAATTTGAATTAGCTCCTCCCCTCTCTTCCTTTATTTTCATGTTCTTCATGTGAATCTAGGGAAGAACCAGTCTGAGATGTTTACTGATGCTACATTCCTGCTCTGGACTTAGCCACCCCTTATCTAATCCTTGCTTTGGGAGAGGTTCTTTCTCCTGTTCTTCAAGGTCATCCCCTGTGTCCTCTACAGATTACTTATCACACCATTCCATTCATATCCATATATACTTTCAAACATATGTCCCAGGATCCTGAAGAGCAAAATTACGGAACCATTCCAAAATTTTAAAAAAATCCTGTATTCTCAAACAATTCATACAAAAAAAAGAGGTAACTAATAAGCACCAAGACTTAAAGAAGAAACAGAACATTAAATCCCACTGATAGATTCGGGATGAGTAGAATCATCCTGAATGAAAATATCACCTGCTGGTTATCCTGTCCAGCTGCCACATTTAAGCCAGTAGCTGCCATGTAAGTGCTGCCAATGGTTTTGATCTTCTCAACCCCACTGAACTTGGGTTTCAGAAGGAGCTATGAAAAGAAAGACAGGAAATTGTTTATTCCGATAATTCAAAGGCTAAGGCATTTTTGCACATCAATCATTTATTTAGCCTAGCATTTTACTCTGAAAAGTATTTAGTCAGATGCATTCAGGGAATTGGTAACATGAGTCTCAAGTATGATGATGATCCAATCAGGCAGATGTTATCTTCAAGCATGGGATGTCTCTTACAATTCTGAGAGTGAAATTACAATTCCCTATAATAAATATTATACAATTTATTGTAACAAAAACCTACTCCCTTCTAACACTGATGAGGTTACCTAGCTTGGTAATGAAACATTTGCAAGAAAACCACCAAACTCAGAGAGGACCGAGGACTCCACAAATTACAATTCGAACAATTGTAGGGATTATTCAACTACGGTAATACTAGCTTTCTACAAACAGTATGGCAAATGAAAGATATTAACAATCTGTAATTTTCAGTTTCAATTTGAAGCAGTTCAGTTGAAGAAAAACTATACTATGCCAGTTTTCTTAATGTACCATCTGGCCGTCTTTAATTTCTAGTTCATTTCTATCACCATTTTTTTTTCATTCTGAATTTACCTGAGCTTACCCTATTCATTTGATACTAATCAGAATGGTATAACCTTATGGAATATTTTTTTCTTCCTAACCTAGTGTTGTGCTAACCTTCCTCCAGATCATAGATGCCTTAAATCCTATCACTATCCTACATCTTATTATTTTAATTTGGAATTAAAAGCCATATTTCTGAGATCTTTAGAACCTCCCTTGATCATCACTGCTGGGACACAGTTTTTGTGGTAGGAAACAGTTGAAAAATATAGTTTAAGTCCAAAACAAGAAATATCACAGTAAAAGAAAATTCCTGTCCACCGTCTAAAAATCTCTCCATTCAAACTCCAGACTAGTCCACAAATGATGTAGCTCCAAAAAGCTTGGGCCCACAGTTCCTCCCAGATGTTAACTGTAACCCTTGATGACTCAAGAGGTGGTACACTGTACTTTCAATAATTATTGTCTGCTGGCTGTGATTGACTAATATTTTATCCTTTACCTATAAATTATTTATTTATTCATATGTTCTATTTCCTAGAAATAAACAAAGCTGTCATGACACCTATTGGCTTTGATTAGATTGTGGCACACTTAAGCAAGGTTTTTTCCTTATGTATGATTAACTCTGATTATGATGACTTCTCTGTCTTAAGAAAGGAAGAGGCCAATGTAAGGAAGAGAGAACATATTAACTATAAACTGTTTGGACAGTTTTTATATGAACTGGAGTAAATTCAGAGGGATTTCTGTTGGCAGATGAAATGAAATTAGCACATTCTTTTGCTTGTTCATAAATCTGTCTCACTTTCTCTCTGCATTTCTCTGTACTACAAGTATGTTAAAAAATTCTGCAAGCGTATATATTTAGCTGCATGTGTGTGAGTATACATCCACACACAGAGAGAAGAATGCGAAGATATATGTGCACACACACAAACATGCACACACACACACACACACAAGCATTTCTATTTCCCCCTACCTCATCAAAGTCAGCAATGATCTCGTTCAGCAGCCGGAGGCATTCAAGCCCTTCATGGTTGACATTGGATTCAGAATAAAATTCCTTGAAGTCCGGGATCGAAGCAAAGAGAACACAGACACAATCATAAGATTGGTGATAGAGATCCTGCTGGGAGAGAAAGAGTGAAGGTCATCCAAATTCTGCAATCACAACCCTTAAAATCCCACACCAAAGATATTCAAACTCTACTGCCTACAAACAGAGGGCCAGGAAATGATTAAGTTGGAATTAGTGCAGAGGCATTTTGTCTGGAGATGGATGGCAAATAAATTCAATACATACATATATACATACATACATACATACATACAGGGCTTTTTTTCTCATGGAACGCCCAGAACGGAGTTCCGGCACCTTTTTTGGATGGAACCTTGTAGGGTAGGCAAGCCGAGTTGTATGACGTGTGTGAGTTCCGGCACCTTTTTTTTAAGAAAAAAAGCACTGCATACATGCATGCATGCATACATACATACCGTGTTTCCCCAAAAGTAAGGCTTACCCCGAAAATAAAGCCTTGCTTGATTTTTTGGGGTGGGCCTAATATAAGCCCTTTCCCCCAAATAAGCCCTAGTTTTGGGGTGAGGCACACACCTAAAAAAGCTAGGGTGAGGGTGGGAGTGTGGAGCAGCACCACGCGCCCCGCATCCACTTACCTTGCAGCCAGGCCTCTCCTCACTGGCCCACTTCTTCTGCAGCTTCTTCTGCAGCCAGGCCTGCATTTCTCAGTCGCAGGCCTTTCCAGAAGGCCACTGCAACCGAGAACCAAGCTATGGATTCAATCCTTAGCTCGGTTCTGGAAGACCTATGCAGCGAGAACTGAGCTATGGATTGAATCCATAGTTCAGTACTCGGCTGCAGTGGCCTTCCAGAAAGGCCTGACTGCAAAATGCAGAAGAGGTGGACTGGCTGGGCAGGGCTGTCGGTGCCGGAGGTGAGTATAAAAGACAGCCCCCCCCCCCGAAAATAAGACCTGGTGCCTCTTCTGGAGGCATAATAATAATTGTTAAGTCCTGGGAATAATGGCGCTTGAGACGAATCATCTCCAACAAGTCTTTATTGTTTGCTCCACTCTACGAACAACCAGAGCAGAGGCACGCAGGCCTCTATTTATACCCTCTGATCCCCGGGCAAGTTCAACCAATCATGAGGAGGGCTTTTCCCGCCTTGCACATGCGCACAAGGCTGGCGCCGCTCAGTCTGGTCCCGGGCAGCTTCTGCAATTGCCCGGGACTCTTGCAACGTCCCGAGCCTGCATCTTGCAGGCTCAGGACACAACACCCCTTCCCCCTGGATGAAATAAGATTGTGCCCACATGGACGCCATCCTATAGATGGTAATATAATTAATAATGAAATAAAGTTACACAATGTATAAGGTGTGGGACTGTTCCTTTGAACCAGATCCAGTGACCCCCCTGACCTTGTTTTATCTAAATACAACCCGCCAGCACATTCAGTCAGCTCTTGCTATATACCTGTTCACCTTACGTAATCGGCTAGGTATTTGGGAGGGCCTCTTGCCCTGAGTGACTTTCTCAGACCTGGAGAGTTTGTATTGTTATTCCCGTGGCCGCTTGCTCTAGGTGAAGTGCCCTGTGAATGACCAGTGACTTCAGCTTGGCTTTCCAGCCCATCTCCTGTAATTGAGCAGTCCGGGCCCTGTTGGTCGTTAAACCTGGTTGACCACCCCTCACTGGAATTATCTAACCCCTGTGAGTTCATTCCCGTGTTTCCTGAAGGAATGTGGGATTCCTGGCTCGTTTCTGTAGTGCTAGGGACTAGGGATGCCTCCCTGTTAGCCCTAATGCGTGAGGACATCCTCCTCTGAGCCCTTTCAGCAAGGGACATGTTTCCCCTTTGTATTGCCTGCTCTCTTGCATGTTGTGAGTTGTGAGTATGCTCCCAGGTATTCTCCGTGTCTGGAGTATTGCTTGATAGGGGTGGATAATTAGTCTGCCACCAGTGGGACTCCCAGGCTGGAGTGTGTGTGGGGGTGTCTATGTACTCCCTTTCCCAAGAACTGCTACCTGAAGCACCTGTGGAAGTTGGGTGTTGAATACCCGTTTCCCTTTCCACAGCCAACGTAGGCTGTTGATTTTGAATCCCAGAATGCATTTCCCATTCCTCCTCCCCCCCCAGAGGATACTGAGATGGAACCATAGGCGAGTCCCGCCTCACACGTAATTGATCGATGTGGCGGCGAAGCAGGCGGCCGTCTGGCAGGGACACCTCGTAAGACAGAGGCCCCGAGACTTTACAGACCACAGCCGGTACCCAAAGGTGGCCAGGCCCATAATTCCTGGCCCAGACAGGATCACCTTCACGAAGGACCCGTGGTAGATGTGGCTGAGACACCTGAGCAGCTACACGTTCCGGATGCAGCCTGTCCAATTTAGTCATGAGCCGACGACCCCAGCGGAGTTCGGCTGGGCACTTACCCGT